GGCATGGCCTTGGGGACATGGGGACCATGAGGGGCATGGGGACATGGGGACCCTCAGGGCTGTCACTGTGAGGACACAGGGACCACTGGGACATGGGGACATGGGGACACAGGGATCAAGGGCTTTGGGGCCTGGAGACACAGAGAGCATCAAGGCATGGCCTTGGGGACATGGCGACCATGAGGGACATGGGGACCCTCAGGGCCGTGACTGTGAGGACACAGGGACCACCGCGACATGGGGACACAGGGATCATGAAGGGCTTCGGGGCCTGGAGATACAGAGAGCATCAGGGCATGGCCTTGGGGACATGGGGACCATGAGGGGCATGGGGACATGGGGACCCTCAGGGCCATGACTGTGAGGACACAGGGACCATCAAGGTCATGGGGACATGGGGACACAGCGATCAAGGGCCTCAGGGCTTGGAGATACAGAGAGCATCAGGGCATGGCCCTGGGGACATGGGGACCATGAGGGCACAAGGACATGGGAGCTATCGGGGGAATGGCCATGGGGACCATCAGGGAAGGGGGAGAGGGACATGGGGACCATCAAGGTATGGCCTTGGGGACATGGGGACCATGAGGGCACGGGGACATGGGAACTATCGGGGGCATGGGGACACAAGGACCATCAGGGAAGGGGGAGAGGGACATGGGGACCATCAAGGTATGGCCTTGGGGACACGGGGACCAGGAGGGCATGAGGAAAGGGGAGGTACTGGGGGCACGGCCATGGGGACATGGGGACACAGGAGCACGGGGAGCATCAGGGAACACGAGACACATCAAGAACAATGGGAATCTCAGGGGATGGGGACATGGGGACCCTCAGGGGATGGGGACATGGGGACACAGGGACAGGCGTGTGGGGACCATCAAGGGCACGGGGACGAGGGCACGGAGACATCCAGGAGCACGGGATGGGGACAAGGGGACACGGGACCACAAGGAACACCACGATGGGGACAAGGGCTCGGTGTGGGGGCAGGGGTGGCCATGCCACAACCCAAGGGACACCAGGCCACCCAAGGGGGGTCACCATGATGTCCCCAGGAGACTGAAACAGATGGCAAGGAGACCCCCAAGGAGAAGAGTGGTGGCAACAAGACAACCCCAAAGGTGTCTCCATGTGTCCCCCCACAACCGGTGCCACCAGCCGCCCCCCGTCCCCGCGCGGTACCTGCTGGGACGCGCTGGTCCCCGAGGCCGAGGACATGACGATGAACTTGGTGGGGGGCGGCGAGGGCTGCGTGGGGGTCCCCGGGCGCCCCGACACCAGGGTCTGCACGGGCAGCGTGATGGCGCTGGGCACCTTGATGATGCTGGGGGGACGCGGGGGACCCGCCTGGCCCTGGGGCGCCTGTGACAGCGTCAACGTGGGGCGCGGCTGCGGGGGGGACACAAGGGACGGGGACGATGACCATGGGGTGACACTTGTCCCCCCCAAACCATCTTCTGCTGTCCCCATGTCCACCCAGCGCCAGGTGTCCCAGGTTCTCCCTGTGACATGGCTCTCAGGCCTGTGTCACCCCCCATGTCCCTGTGTCCCCCCATGTCCCACATCCCACCAAGATGGTCAGCATGGTGTGGTTGACCTGCTTGGCATCACCATGTGGCTCTCCATGTCCTCACCGTGTCCCCAAGCCCCTCAGGTGATGGTCAGCATGGTGTGGTTGACCTACTGGCCATCCCCATGATGTTCCCCATGTCACCACCATGTCCCCAAGCCCTCCAGGTGATGGTCAGCATGGTGCAGTTGACCTGCTGGCCATCACCATGTGGCTCTCCATGTCCCCACTGTGTCCCCAATCCCTCCAGGTGATGGTCAGCATGGTGCGGTTGACCTGCTGGCCATCCCCATGTGGGTCCTCGTGTCCCTCATGTGTCCCCAAGCCCTCCAGGTGATGGTCAGCATGGTGCAGTTGATCTGCTGGCCATCACCATGTGGCTCTCCATGTCCCCACTGTGTCCCCAAGCTCCTCAGGTGATGGTCAGCATGGTGCAGTTGATCTGCTGGCCATCACCATGTGGGTCCCCATGTCCCCACGGTGTCCCCAAGCCCCTCAGGTGATGGTCAGTGTGGTGCGGTTGACCTGCTGGCCTTTACAACATGACTCTCCATGTCCCTAATGTGTCCTCAAGCTCCCCAGGGGACGCTCAGCACAATGGGGTTGACTTGCTGGCCATCACCACGTTGGGTGCAGAGCAGCAGGTCCTCACTCTATGTCCCCCAACGTGCCCACCCCATGTCCCCATGTGTCCCCACGCCCACCCGGGTGATGGTCAGCATGGTGCGGTTGACCTGTTGGCCATCACCACATGGATGCAGAGCAACAGAACCTCACTCTATGTCCCCCAACACGTCCACCCCATGTCCCCACGTGTCCCCACGTGTCCCCAGGCCCACCTGGGTGATGGTCAGCATGGTGCGGTTGACCTGTTGGCCATCACCACATGGGTGCAGAGCAACAGGACCTCACTCTATGTCCCCCAACACGTCCACCCCATGTCCCCACGTGTCCCCGCGTGTTCCCAGGCCCACCTGGGTGATGGTCAGCATGGTGCGGTTGACCTGTTGGCCATCACCACATGGGTGCAGAGCAACAGGACCTCACTCTATGTCCCCCAACACGTCCACCCCATGTCCCCACGTGTCCCCGCGTGTTCCGCTCGCTTGTAGGAGTGCTGGTTGTCCGGGGGCGGACTGATCTTGGCCAGCACCGGGGCGCAGTGTTTCTGCGGGGACACGGCCATGGTGCCATCAGTGTGAGGGGACACAGGGGACACGGGCACGCGGCGGCTGGGGACAAGAATCCATGCCCTGTGTTGCCGAAGCCCTTGTGTCCCACCAGCAACAGCATCTGGAGATGGTTGGACCTGAGTTCGTCATGTTGCCAACACCGGGATGACCTCTTGTCCTGCCCATGTCCCCCTCCGTTGTCCCCATGTCACCCTCTGCGTCCCCAAGTCCCACCAGCAGCAGCATCTGGATGTGGTTGACCTCAATTTTGCCAATGTTGTTGACCATGGAGTGCCAACATGTCCCCCACGCATCTCCCATGTGTCCTCAGGGTCTCCGTGTCCCTAAATCCCACCAGGAGCAGGGTCTGGACATGGCCGGTCTCTATCTGGTTGCTGACTCTGTGTCCCTCACCTCATGTCCCCGTGTCCCCAAGTCCCATCAGAAGATGGACGGTCTCCATCTGGTCAATGCTGCTGACCACAGGGCGCTCCCGTGTCCCCCTTCCCCATGTCCTCGTGTCCCCAAGTCCCATCAGAAGATGGACGGTCTCCATCTGGTCAATGCTGCTGACCACAGGGTGCTCCTGTGTCCCCCTTCCCCATGTCCCCGTGTCCCCAAGTCCCACCAGAAGCAGGGTCTGGACGTGGTCGGCCCCGATCTTGTCGATGTTGCTGACGACGGGGCCCTCCAGGATGCTCCGCACCCGCTCGCCCTCCACTTGCAGCCGGGGCAGGATCAGCGTCTTGATGACCTGGGGACACCGGGGGACATCAAGGGGACATCGGGAGGAGGACACGAGGGACACGGCGGGGGCAGGAACCCAGCGCTGTGAGGACGACGGGGACCCCAGTGGGATGGGGGGGGACGCGGGGCAGGGACGTGGGGGGACACGATGGGGACACGGTGCCATGGGCGGGGGGACAGTGGGGACACTCACGTCATGGCCCAGCTCGGCCAGCCCCGCGATGGAGCCGTAGCGCGTGGTCCAGGGCGTCTTCTCGTCCACCCAGCTCTGGGGCAGAAGAAGGGGGAGATGGGCCCCAAATCCCCCTCTCTGTCCCCAAATCCCCATTCCTGTCCCCAACTCTGCCCCAAATCCCCATTCCTGTCCCCATTCCTGCCCCATAGCCCTAGTTCTGCCCCCAATCTCTCCATCACAACCCCATCTCCCAGCTCTGTCCCCCAATTCTTGTCCTTGTCCCTGCCCCATGGCCCCGTTCTTGCACCAAATCCAACTATGGGTCACCACCCTGTCCCCAAACCCAACCGTGGGGCACCACCTTGTCCCTAAACCCAACCATGGGCCACCAACCCTGTCCCCAAACCCAACCGTGGGGCATCAACCATGTCTCAAACCCAACTAGGGGCACCAACCCTGTCTCCATACCCAACCATGGGGCTCCATCCCTACCCCATGGCCCCGTTCTTGCACCAAATCCAACTATGGGGCACCACCCTGTCCCCAAACCCAACAGTGGAGCACCACCTCATCCCTAAACCCAACCATGGGGCATCAACCATGTCCCAAACCCAACCATGGGGCACCGTCCCAGCCCCACACCCAACTGCAGGGCTCCATCCCTACCCCATGGCCCTGTCCTTGTCCCAAACCCAACCATGGGGCACCACCCCGTCCCCCCACGCAGCCGTGGGGCACGGCCACGTGCTCCCACCTTGGTGAAGGTCTTGGTGATGCGGGACTGGATGTTGTTGGTGGTGGTGCTGAAGTTCTTGCAGACCTGGGCCACCAGGCGGGCGGCGAAGTCGCGCAGGGCCCAGTGGTTGTCCACGTCGGGCCGCAGGCAGAGCTGCCGGCTCACGCTGCCAGCGCTGACG